CTTGGGCTCATACAAAGGAGTGTTAGTTGCAAGACTAGCGCGGTCATCCTAAAACTATATCTTGCGCCTGTGAGACCTCACCTGGATTATGCAGTTCAATTCTGGTCACCGTATCACAGAATGGATATAGAATCCTTGGAAAGAATTCAGAGGCGAATGACCAGGCAAATCCGGGCATTAGGAACCTTGAGTACAGAGACAGGTTAAAGTATCTTAATTTGCACTCCCTCGAGAGATGTAGTGTGAGAGGCGATATGGTAGAGATGTATAAATGGAAGTCAGGGCTAAACAAAAGGGACATTACAAAGGTACTCAAGCTATCCAACCAGGAGCGAACTCGTAACAATAGTTTTAAATTAGACAAATTTAGATTTAGGCGCGAAATAGGTAAACACTGGATTGGAAATAGAGTAATGGATAAGTGGAACAAATTACCAAACATCATCATTAACTCGAATAAGCTGTGTAGCATCAAACATGCAGTAGGTTGGATGGATATTTGAGCAATAGGGGTTGGGTGTAAACGGGACTGCCCAGTATGGGTCAATGGGCCCGCTGCAGTTTCCTCCATTCTCATGTTCTTACGTGCGCGGGAAGCCAAACACTGTGTCGTTACAACGCATGGGCACTTATAACAAAGGTCTAGTGTAGACGGTTAGGTGGCGACGAGAGGCAATAACAACAAGGAGCTGTCTACAGGCAACTATCTCCATACAAAATTAGTTCATCTTAACAAGTATGATATTTTTCTAAATTTAACTTGTAAAATTTCCAGAGTAGATACTAAGTCTGGTGGTCCTTCAATAAATTATAAACAAACAGGATTTAAGTGTGGATCTGTATATCAAAGATGAGGGATTTTCGGTGGGTTATGCCCGAGAAGTCCCAAGCGCAAGATAAGATATACAGTAGTTTTAGAATAACTTCGTAAGTCTTGGAACGAAAACTCCTTTGTATGAACCCAATACTTTGTTAGTCTTGTTTCGAGCAAATACGCATTATTGTCATGGTTAAAGATTCCTACTTATCATTACCCTAAATCTTTCTCTTCCCTCGCCATCTGAGGACTCTCCTGGGTGTTGTCTAATAAAGGGAAAAAAATCAGCAGTAAGTGTACAGTAGTCTGTTCTACGCTAACAGTTCAATTCTCACCTGGTATCCCTTGACCTTAATAAGGTCCTTAATCCTGCTGGTAAGGTAGACGAAGTTGTCTTGGTCATAGTAGCCAACGTCGCCTGTGTGGAGCCAGCCGTAGGGGTCGATAGTTGAGGCTGTGGCTGTGGGATTGTTGGCGTAGCCCAGCATGATACTTGGCCCTCGCACACATACCTCCCCCTCCTGTCTCTCACCCACCATCCTTCCGGTCTTTACATCCACAAACTAAGTGAGGAAAGTGATCTTAGCGTCACCTGTACTGAAATAAGTTTATTAAATACATTTAATTTGTGTAAATGTGTGGGTGACCGTGTGTGTGGGTATGACTGTTGGTACACACTAGGAAACAAATGCTCGACAATAGTCTAGTTGGCTGTAGTACGATGACATTGATCTTTTAGTCTTGTATTAATTGAAATATGAAAGAACATTATCATATATGTTGGGCGAGCAGTTACAGACAACAAAACATATAGAGTTGCAATTCTTGAAATTGTTCTTGAATGTAATTACTAATCTAATAATGCACTTCAAGTTTATGAGGCACCGTAATGCATTATAGCATTAAAAAGACCAGTGTTAATTTGACCAACCTAACATAACCTAACCTACTTAACTAAACCTAACGTAAAGTAACTTAACCAAACCTAATTAACCATTCCTAACCTTATTTAACCAAACCTATTCTAAATTAACCTTTTGTAACCTAACTTAACTTACTCTAACATTATTTAGCTTCTAATCCTGTCAGAGCACCGTTCACAAAACTGAGGGTTGGCGACCACAGTCCTCCTCTCTAAACGATCTCGGGCTGTTTTTACCAACCCTCTAAGGTCTTGTATCTCTCTGGGGCCCAGTTTATTATGTCATTCATCCATCTCAGTCTCTGCCTTCCCTGGCCTCCTACCCTCAACTTGCCCATTAATATTTCTGTTATTATTCCCTTCATCCCTAATTATATGACCAAAGTATCTCTTTTTTCTTTTTCTGTACATTTCAAGTATTTCTGTAGAATTTTTGTCAGTCCTTATACTTCGTCAGTGTAGCTTCTTCTTATCATTCGCCTATAACACCACATTTCAAACCTTCAACCTCGTTCAGGTGTGTGTTGAGTACCCGTACTTCAGTCCTTACAGCAGCCTTCTCAAATTGAAGTTAATGTCCCTTTTATTAACTCTTTTACAGGTAGGTTATTAAATGTTGTTTATATTTGCCCTATTTTTTTCTTCTGTACATCTACCATCACAGCTAATGTTACTTTCCAAATGCACAAATTTTCCACTTGTTTAAGTTCCTTGTTGTCTAAATAAATTGTACTTTTTATATTTATTTCTCATTTGGAAACAACCATTACTTTAGTCTTTACAGCACTGACACTTAAACCATATTCTTCACCTTTTCCACTAATCTGTTAACGAGTTGATGTAACACCTCTTCACTGTCTGTGATAAGAGCAAGTACTACTACTA